TCACTGAGGCCGTCCAGCCCAATCCCCAGCCATGCAGGAACATCCATCAAAGTATTCCCAACAGATGGCCATCCAGCCTCTGCTTAATAACCTCAAAAGAAGGAGACTCTACCACCCTTTAAGGCAGCCTATTCCACATTAGTTCTTCCTAATGTTCAGATGGAATCTCTTTTCCTGTAGTTTGAAACCATTGCTCTGTGTCCTGGTCTCTGGAGCCCTGGGAAACAAACCTGTCCCCCTTCAACATGACATCCTTTCAAATATTTAAAGCAAAAAAAGAGAGCAAAGCGTGCTGCTTATATACCACCCCATAGCACTTCAAGCACTCTCTGGGTGGTTTACAAGTTAATTATGCAGGCTACACATTGCCCCCCCCCACCCACCGGGCGGGGTATCGTTTTTTTTGACACCGGTATCATCTCCCCTCTCAACCTTCTTTTTGTAAGGCTAAACATTCCCAACTCCCTAAGCCGCTCCTCGTAGGACATTGCTTCCAGACCTTTAACTGTTTTAGCCGCCCTCCTCTGGACACGTTCCAGGTTGTCAACATCCTTTTTGAACTGAAGTGCCCAGAATTGGACACAATACTCCAGGTCAAGTCTGGCCAAAGCAGAATAGAGTGGTACTATTACTTCCCTTGATCTAGACACTATACTCCTATTGATGCAACCAAGAATCACACTGGCTTTCTTGGCAGCCACATCACACTGCTGACTCATGTTCAGTTTGTGGTCTACGAAGACTCCTAGAGCCCTTTCACAGATACTGTTGTCTAGCCAGGTGTATTCCATCCTATATCTGTGCAGTCCATTTTTTCTGCCTAGCTGTTAGACCTTACATTACTGCCTGTTGAAATTCATTTTGTTAGTTTTGACCCAGGACTAATCTGTCAAAGTCATTTTGAATTTTAATCCTGTCCTCTGAGGAATTAGCAACCCCTCCCAATTTGGAGTCCCCTGCCCCTCACTCTCTCTCACACACAAACTCTCACACACAGAGAGAGACACACACACAAAAGAGCTGTCATTTCCCCCTCCATTGCTGGGGCTTTTGCTTTTTTTGAACTGAATGCATTTGCATTGGTTAAGTCAGTGTGACTACTTGAGCTGATGTGGAGACATTTGTAGCCACTCTCTCTGAAGCCATTCCACCCAGTGCCTTGCTTTCTCCCCCACCCCTTTTGGTGACCAAGATGTCTTAATGCTAGGCCACTATAACTTCACAGTGGACCCATTGGCATTTTCCCTGCTGTGTAGTCGCACCCATATCTTGAGGTACATGAGATGTTCAAGGTGTAGTCTTACTACTGCCACTCACTCCTCAGTTAATTTTTATAGCCTAGTAGGGATTTGAATCCAGGTTTTCTAAGTCCTAGTCCGCCATTCTATTCACTGTACCACACAGGCTCAGAACTCTGATGCAACTGGCCTTTACATATCTTCTCCTTGCCCCACTCCTCTGCCAGGTTCATGCTGGGGAAGGATACAACCTTTCCAGGCCAAGACCCTGTCTTCTACCTGTAAAAGAAAATCCAGATTTCTTTCCACCCTTGGCATCACGATTCCCATCCAAATCTGGAAAAGAGCAGAAGTTGGGAATGATGTCTTTTTGGACTACAGGTCCTCCAACCAAGAAGGGGCAGTAGCTGCACCAGCTGGAGGAATTCGGAAGTTGTAATGTGAAAAAAGAGAAACTTTTCAAAACTGTACAAAATCCCATTACTTCTGACCAATCCCTCACTGATCAGCCTCAGCCTTCAAAACGAGACATGTTTTGCCACTTGGACAGTTCAGACTCTTTTCTTCCAGTGAGAGGTTCACTCAAAAAACAAAAATAATAGTTTAAACAATGTAATTGTCTCCTGTATCACTCTAATGTAGACCAGTTGAGGTTGCCCATCTTTATTTCATACTCTGCAATTACATGTTCCCACTGCAGACTACAGTGCTGGCTAATTATACTTAATGGGACAAAAAGTCATAATTACCCTGTAACCTTGTGATGTGTGAACCTGAATTTATATCCCTTTGCCCTATATATTAAAGGGGTGTGCTCTCTTGAATAGCATGGCCTCTGCTTGACCTACAAGTTAGCACAAGCCTGTCAGAAAAGCTTCTCAAAAAACTGAGCCTGGAATTTCTAGCAAAGATAGATCCTGTTGTCTATATATTATCAAAAGTTTACTTTAGCTAAGGATATTTTATTTGCCAAAGAAAGATTATTCTGGGTACTGTATTCTTGTAGTGATTCTTGTGATATAGAAATAATTTCCTTTAGTGCATTGATCAAAGAAAACAATATGAAATGGGACTGCTTCTACAAAAATAATGTTTTCAGGTAATTTAAGAGTCACCGTGTAAGAAAGGATATTTGAGAGAATTTGGTTAAATGCTGACCAACCTATAGGATGAGCTACTGTTTTCCTCAGTTCTGTATGGCAGCTACAACTGGTTTTGGGACTGATACCCAGGCCCTCAAAATCCAGGGATTCCCAAATAAGTGTAGCAGTCATGTTAACTAGGGCTGGTATAATTATCTAGCCAGAATGGATATGTCTGGGCATGCTGTGGTCTTGCTGCTCACCATAGCACCCTTCCTTTTTATTTTATTTTTTTAAAGAATACATTGGGCTAAATTTTGAAGAGACACTTGTCCAGCAGGCCGTGTCCAAGAGGCAGTGCCGAAACCAGCAAAATCAGGGAGCTGGGCAGGGGACAGATTGTATTTGTCTTCAGTGTGGAAGGAATTGTAGCTCTCGAATCGGCCTTCTCAGCCACACTAGACATTGTTCCAAGTCCTCCATACAGAGCATGTTACCATAGTCTCTCGAGACTGAAGGATGCCTAATCTAACCTGATTGGGCTAAATCCAGTAACTTGTCTCGTGTATCCCCAAATGTCCCAGTTCATACCCTGGCGGTATACGTAACCAGGCTGTGAACCACTGCTCTTCAGGATGTGTTTAACTGCAGGGCAGAAGACGAAAACTCTATTTTTTATTCCTGCAGTCACAGTAGCGCTATAGCTGAAGTGAGCTTAAAATGAGAAACTGCACGTGTTCAAAAGATTTCTTTCTCATTAAAGTTGGCCACCAATATATCAGGAATGTAGCAGCAACTGTAAAACATGAAACAGCAGTGGCCATAATGAGAGCAGAAATGTTAAATCTGTCCTTCACAAATGGAGTATAATACAGTACACAGTGTGCCTCTCTCCACCCAAGAAGGAACCTTGTATCTCAATATAGGGTGATGTAGGGGGCTGGGGAATGCAGAATAACTGACTCACGGGAATGAGAGAGTGATTCCAGTCAGCATCACTAGAGGTGGAATCTGAAACCTGCATCTCTGACTTGAGACTGCTGCCCCTATTTTTAACCCTACTTTTAATAAAGGAGCCTGGCACACATATCTAGCTGGGAATTTTTAGAATTTCTATGTTTTTTTCTGCACCATCCATGGCTCTGTGGTGCCCAGCCTGACGGCACATTTTAATGTACTTTTTTCTAACTCTAAGACAACAGCAGCAAACTTACAAATGTTTAACGTATAATCTAGATTGTGTCTGGTCCGGTCAATTCAGAATATGAACCAGACCCAGAAATATGGGATTTACCGTTTTCCTCAAAAATGAAATATTTTAAATAAAAGTAACACCTGATAAAATTAACAGACACCTGAAGTTTGCTAAATAGGGAAGCCATTACCCTAGTTAAAAAAAAATTTGACAAAGGAGGGTACACATTTGCATAAAGTTTGTTTGTACTAATTTATATGAAGAGATGCAAATCTGCATATAATTACTGTGATCTGAATCCAATTGGTAGACCCAAAAAGACCCATTGAATCAATGAGATTTACATATGTGTTGATTCAACAGGTCTAATCTAACTGGAATCATCAACTGGATTTAGACCAGTGACTGAATATCCCACCTGAAATGGTCAAGGCTGTGACTGGGTTATCTGTGTGCCTGCTCGCAAGTGCCATCCTATGGCATTTAATCTTTAAACAAAAGAAACCTTCAGACAGTGGCCTGATTTTGTAACACTCCTTGAAACAAAATATTCTAAGGCAGGCCACACATTGAATCAATGAGATTTACATATGTGTTGATTCAACAGGTCTAATCTAACTGGAATCATCAACTGGATTTAGACCAGTGACTGAATATCCCACCTGAAATAGTAAAGGCTGTGACTGGGTTATCTGTGTGCCTGCTCGGTTTGCTATTGATATGGTCACAATGGATAGAACAACTCAAGTGCCATCCTATGGCGTTTAATCTTTAAACAAAAGAAACCTTCAGACAGTGGCCTGATTTTGTAACACTCCTTGAAACAAAATACTGTATTCTAAGGCAGGCCACGTCACCATCCTGTTCCCAAAAATAAGTAGAATCAAGATTCATTTGCACGAATGAGTAGACTATGTCTAGATGGGCAGCATATAAATGCAATAAATAAATAAAAATAAATAAATACAGGTTGAGGCTGATGATCAAAATCAGCCCAAGCGAGGCATAAAGGACCTACCTGCTTCAAATGGATGCCACCACACAGTATCTGCAGAAATCTCCATGCACAAGATCGGGCTGGTCTCCTGAATCCTGCCTTTGTGAAAAAGAGATGAGGAAGTCACCAGTCCTGCAGGTTAGAAACAGCCTACAATTGGTGTGCACAGATTCTTGACTATGAGTAATATGACTCTGTTAGAGTAACCCATCAACAGAAACACCGGCTTTGTACAACTGAGACATGCTGTGGAACATAATGGATGACCCTATGTAAATTGAGACTGGGGCTGTGGAGTGGGGTTCTCACAGAGACATTACTGCGTGATCTTGGGAGCAGAGGATGATCGCTCCCAGTGAGAATGATTGCCAGTGTGTGAAATGATATGGTCTTCATGCTGTGATAGGGGTCTAGTAATAAGGGTTTGTTGGGTGCCAGTAGTTCCTGCTCAGTGAGTGAAGTAAAGAGCTCCATTTGATTCCCTGCAGGGCTTCCAAGACGATTCTTTAGAGACAGGCTGTGTGGCAGAAAGAACGAGCCCCTCGCTTAACCTAACTTCCAGCGAAGCCTGGCCTCATCCGTCTCCTGTCGCTTTAGATTCCACCTTCTTCTCTTCATCATTTTCTGAGCTGCTGCCAAAGCCGGTAATAAGATGTAGGGCCGGTAAGAAGGAGAAGCAATGGGGGGAAGAGGGGAAAGTTTCCCTTGAAGTGGAAAGTTTTCATCTAGGAAACTGTACAATGCAACTCAGATAATTTATTTGACTTATTTTACGTCTTAAGATGTTTCTGTACCTCTTTTTATTTCTAAAATCCCAAAATGGCTTACAATATTCTGATGTTAAAAACCACAAAACACAATAAAATCATGCAACAATACAATAAAATAGCATTCAGACAATAAACCTATCCATTAAAATCACTAAAATTATCAGGGGTAATTGACTAGTGGCAATCTACACAATGCAATTCATTGTTGTTTTGCTAATTTCCAACATTAGCAAATCTTAGTAATGCACCACCACAGCATTTTGGGGGAGGGGGCTTTAAGTGCAGTGAAATAGCTATTAAGTTTGATAGTAAACAATTGCTTTGGGCCTGATTACTCCTGGAGCAGAGTGTCATGGAGCTCAGCATTGTAGGATGGTGTGAATGTTCCCATGATGCAACACACCTTTCTTCCGAAGCGAGACAATGGTGTGGAGCAACTCAGGGATGACAGAAAAGTGCTAAAACCATCCCTCATGTAGGACAACCATCAATACAGCTGGCAGGGCAATGGTAATAAATGTAAATGACATGTTTTATCAGAATTTCCCTCATTTTTTAAAGAAGGCAAGTGATGAATGTGGGCAAAATATGCTGTGACTTCATAATTTCTCACACAGGCTGTCTGTAGCTTCTCTCCATATCTTCCTATATTCGCCATCACACACCCATCTCCAACAGAGACTGCCTTCATTCAATGTCCCCTTCATTGTGAGGGCTGACTGGATGTTGATGAGCATCTAATGCAGTGATTCCTAACCTTGCGTAACTCAGGTGTTCTTGGACTGCAGTTCCCAAAAGCCTTTACCACCAGCTCTGCTGCCGGGTGTTTCTGGAAGCTGCAGTCCCAAAACACCTGAATTTCCCAAGGTTGGGACCCACTGATCTAATGTGCAACCAGCTTAGACTTCTGCTACTCCATCTCCATTTGTTGCCTGGCAGCTGAATATTTGAATGGACTGCATTGAAAAGCATTCCATTTGGGGTACATGAGATGACATGAAATTTCTGTCTGTAGTTATTTGGTCTGTGATGGGCTCGTTAACCCTTGCTTGGTGGCCATCAGGCCATGAACATGTATGTGTGAATCAGCCCTAGGAAGGTCAGTTCTCTTTTCTGCTCTCTTGCTGTGCCTTCTGTCAACTATTGCTGGTTATTGATTCAGACAACCTGTCCATTTATTTCTGCTGCTTTCTCACCATGGTGATTCTGAACCACTGCATGTAATAATATTTTTCCTGAAAATGTCCAAGACTTTTTAACTGCCTGGGGCAAAAGATGGTATGACATCCCTGTTCCTTATGCAACTGAACTGACCGTTAAACAGCATGTTTATACTGAACAACATTTTTGGCTGTTACCAAAAGATAGCAGGTAAGTTTTAGGGCACACAGAGCAAACTGTGTGACTCATACACCTTGGTCCTCTCAGCCTTTGCTAGCTGAGATCACTCCTTCACCCTTCCTAATGGCAGGGCTGGTCCTGCAGAAAATGTATTGCAGGCACACTTCTGTGCACATTGCACTGTCAACATAGTACCACCACCTCTGGAAGCTTTCCCATTCATTTCAAAAGAGGGCAGCTCTGCCTTCATTAAACAATATCTGCCTGGAGATTTCCTCCCCACCAAAATCAGTGGAAATCTCCCTGGAGTTTAAAGAATTCTGCGCTTGCCCCCGGATTTATGCATCTGAAAAAGAGAAATCACTGCATCTGGGCCAAACCTTTGGAGAACTGTTAAAAGAATGAACCGTACATCTCCCACATATGCCATGATAACTTCTGATATTAGTCAGATTTAAGGGACAAGGCTGGCCCAAGGCACTTTGCTGCTTCAGGCAAAAAGAATTTTCCGCTCTCACCCTCAATTTCTATGTACAAAATGTACTGGGCTGGCCATTAAATTTTCCTTCATTTCCCAATACAACAGGAGACTTTGCTTCATTATGCCTTCAAGGCACTGATTTTAGGAGTACGGCATAGGTGGTCTGGTACCTAAAGCTGTGTCCAGGGGGTAAGCCAGCGGGCTTAAGATAACTGGTCATGGACGACTGCTGCCGCCATCCTCCATCGTTTGCTGCCTGAGATATTTACCACATTCTTTTATTCTCAGAGACACATAGCTATTCAGTATATTGTTAATTTTAGTGCATAGTTTGCTCTAGCTTGGTTCATTCTTAAAATATCTGTCAAAATAATTACAAATATAATTCTCTCTCTCTCTCTCTCTCTCTCTCTCTCTCTCTCTCTCTGTGTGTGTGTGTGTGTGTGTGTGTGTGTGTGTGTGTGTGTGTGTACGTACGTACGACTGTGTGCTTACCTCCTTCCTTCTAAATGTGTATGCTTGCCAAAACATATGAAGCATCCCAGATTCATCCTAGGAATGGAGTCCAAAGAAGTCATTTAAATAAAAATGATGTGAAATAATGAAGAAGAGAATCTCAGTGTGCAATTTCCACCGTGGTGCTGAAAACTGTATTAAGATACTGTAGATGGAGATGAATAACATCTGCAGCTGCCTTGATGTAGCGGAAATCAAGGGCTATTAATCCTCTAGCTTCCAAACCAAACATTAAATAGTAACTGGGTGGCGGGTACGGTGGGGTGTGGAATTGTGACTGTTTACTTAACTTTGTGTCTCTCATTCCTTTCAAAGCCTTTCCAGATTATCAGTTCATCCCATTCACAAAATGGGCAGTTTTTGCTGTACCTTTTTGGGGGTGATGGTTTTGGATGGGATCCAGATGTCTCTTTTTAAGTAACGGTTTAGCTTTTGGAGATACGACACCTTTCCCTCTGTAGGGCCAGTTCTACCATTGGGCAAATGGCTCCTTTCAGGCAGCAGATACTGGCTGGTGGCAGGGGAGGAATGAGTTATAGGAAGAGACCAAAGCTGTAGTCATCTGGAGTCAGGGGAAGGAAGCACCATCTCATCCTTTTGCCCCAGGCAGCAACATTAGCCACTCTCTTGTGGCTAAAGTTTCTCTTGCTCTGGATTGTTGCAATATATTATTTGAAAATGACCCAGATCCTTCAGAAGGTTCCTCAGGCTGTGGTCACACTGACAATAAGATCTGCATTTAAGCGTAATTTAAATCGATTTAGACTTTACCGTTCAGACAACGCAAGGGTGAAATTTATTTATATGGGCGGCCAAGTGTTTTTTTTTCAGCTGGCCGGCAGGGGCTGCTCTGGATTGTTGCAATATATTATTTGAAAATGACCCAGATCCTTCAGAAGGTTCCTCAGGCTGTGGTCACACTGACAATAAGATCTGCATTTAAGCGTAATTTAAATCGATTTAGACTTTACCGTTCAGACAACGCAAGGGTGAAATTTATTTATATGGGCGGCCAAGTGTGTTTTTTTCAGCTGGCCGGCAGGGCTTTTTAAAAATACCTCACTTCTAAAATCAATTAAAATGAGTCAATTTCAGCCATGTAGACACCAAAACTGATTTAAGCCACCAGAAACAAATCTAGTACAGTATTTCCATTCAGTGTATGTGAATGCAGCCACTGGTTTAAACACCACCTGACTTGAAACTAACTTTTTAAAAAAAGTCTGAACAGAAATCCATTCAGATTGCCAGTGTGACCACAACCTCAGTCAGGACCAGCAGACTACCTGCGACGACGGTCTGAGAAGACTGCAATGGCTTCCTTTTTGTTTCCGGGCTCAATTCCAAGTACTGTTAGCAAGTTTGTTTTGACATCCCCTCCCAGAATTCCCCAGCTAGCATGTCAACTAGGAAATCCAGTCCAACCAACTCACCAACAAAACATCTGCCTGCCTCTCCCTGCCTGCCTAGCCTCATCGGAGGCTCTCCACCAAGTACTCCCATTAAAGGTCACTTTAGTTATTTGCACAATTCCTTAAAAAGAGGAAGTGGCATAGACAAGTACTCACACTTCTTATTCTGAGCAATGGCTGTCTTACTCCAGCAGAAGTTGAATAGTTCCATCTTCTTGGACCCTGGCCCTCCTTGTACCTTTCACTACAGTTGATCTAAACCACTTTTTGTTCTTGTTCAATGTGCTTCTCCTTTTCTACTTGTGGATGTGACCAGAAACAATTTGATCTTTACTCCCAAACAGAATATAGTTGCTGGTTGGTTGATCCTGGGTCAGGGAGTTTTTGGGCCCAAGGCCCGAAGATTAGCTATGTGTTCTACTTTACAGAGTATAGTCCTCTACTTCAGTGGTTCTCAGCCTTGGGTCCCCATGTGTTCTTGAATTAAAACTACGAGAAGTTTTCACCACTGGTGTGCAGGGAAGGATTTCTGAGAGTTGTAGTAAAAAAATAAAATAAAATCTGGGGACCAAGATTAGAAACCACAGATCTACTTGAAGGCCTGTCAGAAAAGACTCTGTTTCCAAGCATCCTTTCTTTGAAGGTCTACTCAGTCCAGGTCTCCTGGTTTAAAGTCCAAGGACCAAGAGAAAGGGGAGCTGGGCCCTGAAGTTGCCCTCCAGCAACTAGCAGCTAGACAGAAGATTAAAGTGGCACACAGATCACCTGGTGAAAGGCTCTCTGGCTGAAATATAAAGAACCACAGTAAGAAAGGAGAGCAGAGGTGTTGAGGCTGCCCACCCACAGTCAGCACCTGGTCAGAACACAGATCAGGCACACGGGTCCAACTGCTCACAGTCTTCCCTGGGATTGTACTATTGGCCAAAATCCTATTGCTTAGTAAACTGTACTAAGGTAGGTCCACTGAATCAATGGGATTTGGTGAGTGAATTCACCTGTATGTTCCACTGATTCAAATAGGGTACTCTTAATTTCAATTTATTTTAGCATGGCAACTTACAGAGTAGGCCCACTTGACTCAATCAAACCTATGGAAATTTGGATTACTAAATCCTCATTGATTTATTTGTTCTACTCTAGTGTGATACACTATGCTAAGCAACAGGATTTGGGCCGTTATTTAAACTGCAGTAATTATTTCTACATTTGAAT